GGTAGGCAGAACTAATATGATAAAAATGACAATTTTACCAAAACTAATTTATAAATTCAATGCTGTCCTAATTAAATTTTTTAAAAACCCTTTTTACTGAATTAGAAAAAAATTTATTTGGAAATATAAAAAGTCAAGAATATCAAAAGGAAATGGTGAAAAGAAATGTAAAAGGAGGTTTAGCAGTACCAGATCATAAACTATATTATAAGGCAGTAATTATCAAAACTATCTGGTACTGTCTAAGAAATAGAAAAATAGATCGATGGAATAGAGTAGACATACAATTTAGAGCAGCAAATAAACACAATAACCTTATCTTTGACAAATGTAGGCTTAAGATTTTGGGATAAGAATTCATTATTTGGTAAAAATTGTTGGGAAAACTGGAGCAGTATGGCAGAAACTGGGCATAGAATAATATCTTACACCATTTACCAAAGTAAGGTGAAAATGGATACATGACCTAGCTATAAAGAGAAAACTTACAAGAAAATTATGAGAACACGGACCATATTATCTATCAGACTATGGCTATGTGAACAATTTATGAATAAACAAGAGATAGAGAGCAAAGTTAAACACAAAATAGATAATTTCAATTACATTAAATTAAAAGGTTTTTGTACAAATAAATGTATCCAAGATCAGAAGGAAAGCAGATAATTGGGGAAGGGGATTTTATCAACAGTTGTCAGATAAAGGTCTCATATCTAAAATATATAAAGAACTTTTTCAAATCTATAAGAATATGAGTCATTCCCCAATTGATAAATGATTAAAGGATATGAATAGGCAGTTTTCCAGTGAAGAAATCATAACAATTTATAGTCATATAAAAATGCTCTAAGTCATTATTGATTAGAGAAATGCAAATTAAAACAACCTTGAGATATCATTTTACACCTACTAGATTGGCTAAAATGATAGAAGGGGAAAGTAAGAAATGTTGGAAGGGATGTGGAAAAATTGGAACACTAATTTCATTGTTAGTGAAGTTGTTAACTGATCTAACCATTTTGGAGAGCAATCTGCAATTATGCCAAAAGAGTTATTAAACTACCTATGTCCTTTGACCCAGCAATACCACTATCTGGTCCATTTCCAAAGATGATTAGGGAAAAAGAAAAAGAACCTATATGTTCTAAAATATTTGTAGCAACCATCTTTGTTGTGGCAAAAAAACCTGGAAATTGCAGGGATGCCCATCAATCAGGGAATGGCTGAACTAGTGGTGGTATGTGGTTGGGATGGAATACTACTATTCTGTAGGAAATCATGAGCTTAATGATCTTTTTTTCTTTTTCTTTTTCTTTTTTAATGAGGCAATTGGGGTTAAGTGACTTGCCCAAGGTCACACAGCTAGTCAAGTGGGCAATTGGGGTCAAGTGTTTGGTCTGAGACTGGATTTGAACTCAGGTCCTCCTGACTTTAGGGCCGGTGTGCTATCCACTGCGCCACCTAGCTGCCCCAGAGCTTAATGATTTTAGAAGAACGTGGAAAGACTTGCATGAAATAATGAAGAGTGAAATGAGCAGAACCAAGACATTATATGCAGTAACAGCAATATTGTTTTAAGAATGAATTTGAGTGAATCAGTTATTTTGACTAGTATAAATACCCAAATTAACTATAAATTACATATGAAGAAAGACATTATCTGCAATCAGAGAAAGAAATGATAAATATGTATAGATTTGTGTCCAGTGGTAGCCATCTTTAGGGCAAGGTGAGGGAGGGAAGAGAAAAGGAAAAAAGAAAATTACGTGATAATCTTGTATATTTGAAAGAAATAGCAAGTTGTGTATAGTACATTGCAGTTTCATGTGCAATCATCTATTTTATTATACTATGCTATAGAAATGCTTGCTTTATTCCAAAAATTAAACATAAAATAATTTTCAAAAAATTACAAGCAGGATGATTTCAGAAAAACCTGGAAAGATTTACATTAACTGATACAAAATAAAGTGAATAGAACCAGGAAAATATTGCATACAGTAACAGCAATATTATATAGTGAAGAACTGTGAATGACTTGGCTATTCTCAGCAATACAATGATCCAAGACGATCCCAAAGGGCTCATGATGAAAAAAATGCTATCCACATCCAGAGAAAGAACTGATGTTGTTTGAATACAATTGAAGCATACTATTTCCTTCCTTCCTTCCTTCCTTCCTTCCTTCCTTCCTTCCTTCCTTCCTTCCTTCCTTCCTTCCTTCCTTCCTTCCTTCCTTCCTTCCTTCCTTCCTTCCTTCCTTCTTTCCTTCCTTCCTTCCTTTCTTCATATCTTTTTGTCTTCTTGCATAAAACATCTAATATGGAAATGTTTTACATGATTGCATGCATATAAACTTTATCAGATTGCTCACCATCTCAGGGAGGGAGGAGTTAGGGGAGGGAGGGATAGAATTTGGAACTCAAAATTTAAAAAAAACAGTGAATGCTAAAACTTGTTTATACATGCAACTGGGGGGGGGGAATGATATTTTTTAAAAATTTAGAAAGTGATTGAACCAGGATTTGATCCCAGACCTCTGACTCCAAAAGAGGTGCTAGTCTTACTACACTATACTATACTATACTATACTATATACTATACTATACTATACTATACTATACTATACTATACTATACTATGCTATGCTATACTATACTATACTATACTACTACAAAGCAGGGCAAGCAGAATGGTGAAGTCTTATGCTATACAAGGATGTGAGGATACATTTAAGGAAAAGGAGAAGATTAAGCTGGAGAAGACTAATGGCTGACATGATAACTGCTTTCAAGTGGGAGGTGGTACAATGGAAAGAGAACTTGTAGGAAGTCAGAAGACCTAGGTTCAAATGTTATATCTGATGACTACCACCTATATGACCTTGAGTATCATTTAACCTCTCTAGACCTCAGTTTCTTCATCTGTAAAATGAGGGGTTAGATTAGGTGGTTTATGAGGTAAGTCCCTTCCAGTTCATTGTTCATTATCTTATGAAGGCATTTCAAGGATTGTCACGTAAAAAGAGGGATTAGATTTACTGTGTCTCACCCCAGAGGACTATAAATAGAACTATAAATAATGGGGGAGAGTTGAAAAGAGGCATATTTAGACTTGATGCAAAGAAAAACTTCCTATCAGAGCTAAATAAAAGTGAGGTGGGTTAACTTGGAAGATAATGGGTCTTCTCTCTCTAAAATTCTTTAAGTAAAGGCTGGATAATAGTTCTTTAAAATTTATCCAAGAGATTGCCATCCACTTTTCCAGGTATGGATTGGACTAGGTGACCAATAAGATCCTTTCTAAGTATGAGAGCCTGTGATTCCATGAGCTCACAAATCCATTGGAGTATTAGATTTTCTGAAAACTTGTATCACATTCTATTCTCTCCTTGAAACACTTTAATAGAGATACAATTTAATGTCAGGACTTCTGCCTTTATAGAGGGCCAATAATATATTCATCTGGTTGAATAGCACTTCTATGTCTCTTGTGAAACCGTGGCTAGAGATATTGCCTCCTATATCACTTGGTGTCTGGTGATGGTTGGCTAGTCATGCACTGGTTCCCATCTTCTGAGAAAGGAGGAGGTCACTACCTAATAGTTACAATAACTGTTGAATCCAAAATTGCAACCCTTGACTCAACGCAAATTTCAACAACCTCTATTCTTCTCTGGCATACTTGGGATTGGTATATTCAAAGGTCCTTGGAGTCTATTCATTCTAGATTGGTGCATTTGTAAATAGGCTTCTCTCCTTATGTTTACCTCAGTATAAAACCACACAACCCCTAATAACCTCAAGTCACCCTGAATCTGCCTGGAATCTGAATAGACTTGTCTGCATATGTTACAGCCATATGTGCAGCTTAATTTCCCAGAACCATATGAACACTAGGTCCAAAAACTGGCAGTGAAGTAGAAGAATGTCTCCTTGTGTCCTTTTTGTGTATATGAGATTTCACTGGTTGTTTGTATGCTATTAATAAATTCTACATTTAGATTAGGGGTGGATATGATGGGAATTTTGTTCTTGAGATCCCAAAGTGGACTAACAGTGTCCTTTATATAAAGTTCCACACAATGAATTCCTACTTCAATTGGGTGCCAGAAAAAAGAAGTTCTCTTTACAGATGAATTTATGTGCTTTTTGTAAGAAGAAATCAAAGGTTATGTGGCCCAATGTGTTTCTCTTTTTGCTTTAGTTGCCAGAAAATTTAGAGCCAAATTTATTATCTAAGCATTAAAATCTGCTTGTCTTGAATATTAAAACAATGCCTGCTATTACTTTTTAATAGACTCTGTTTATCTTTAAACATCCTATCTAATACTGTGATTTCATCTACATACTACCTCACATCCTTTGAGACAGAGACAAGTTAAAAATCTTTTAAAAATTCGATGGATAATAGGTACTACCTTTCATCCAAGAGATGTTTGATCAACAAAAGAAACAGGCTGGTAACACAGCATGAGAGAATATGGTAATTTTGATCCTAACCCTATGTAACCTGCCCCTTCTGGATTCCAGCTGTACTCACATCTCACCAGCAACTGATATGAATGTATCCTTTCTCCTCTTCCCTCACCTCCCTCCTCATGCCCTTGAGTGTCTCAGTTAAACCACAAGCCTTCCCTTGTGAATTAAAATACAATGGTGATAAAAGCCTACTGCTTTGCATTAATGGCCCATCTAATTCTTCTGCAATACCCTCCTTTAAGTCCTAGCAATGGAATAGGACAAGGCCTACAAGTATATTGGCTACATTATATTTCTTTAAAATGCATAAAAATACTTTCTGCTTCATTGAACACCAGCCTAAGGAGGAACAATCTGCTTTTCTTTCAAGACTTCTGTTACCTGATCTGTTGATTAAAGACAATGTTACTTTCAAAATATCAGGTCCTAGGTTTGTGAACAAAAATGGTGATGAGACCCTCCCCGTTTGGCCTGAGCCTGGTGACTTTTGGATCAAGCTAGATCCTGCCCCTTCCTTACCAGAAACAAAGTGCATCCTCTCAACTCCATGATACAGATCATGCAGTGAGTGAACCATAACCCATTTTGTGCCAGAAACCTCTTTAGCAGGCTGGTGAAGCCTATAGACCCCTTCCCAGAATAATGCATCTAAGAGAATAAAATAAAATATATAACATTACAAATGAAATTAATTATATTGAAATACAATTAACAACATATTCAGAAAAAAGTTCATGGGCTCCAGAATAAGAGCCCCTAAGGAAACCTTGAAGCACCTTACCTGTTTTCCTGTGGTAGGTGAAAATGTGGTTGGTAGGTCTGATGAAAACCTCTAGTTATTCACCTGCAGGAAGTCAAAACAAGACTAGGTTGTCTCTTGGAATCAGTAATAGATATGTTGGCTAGCTTGGTCTCTCAACAAAGGGATGTTTTATGGGCTGTGCACTGCTCCTTTCTATAACCTCTTCTGGAAGAAGGGAAAGAAGGTTTGTACTTGTTTACTATTTCCTCTCCTGTTCCTCCTTATATAGCCACAGCTGTGAGTCCCCTCCTTGGTCAAACAGTTGCTGGGTAAACATTGATCCCCACTGTTACTCTAGAAAGTCAAGAAGAAGAGTTATCAATTTTAACAACAAGATCTTCCAGATAGCATGGCACTCATTCTTATCTTCACCTGGGTTCCACCTTACTTTCATGTTCTAAGGATTTCCTTTTGGCTGATTGCCTTTGGTGTAGCTTTTCAATTTCACCAGAGGTGTCACATTTAGTCCACTAGTAAACCCATAATAATCTCTGCTTCCCTGGAACTCCACTGCAAATTTTCAAGGATTTCCTGAGATGATGCTCAGAAGTGGGAATGTTGTGGTGTGAGAAGTTGAGAGGCTGTGACCCCTGAAAGACTGAAGTACAGGATAGGTCATCTGGAATGAATTCACAGACTCAAGCATTCTTCAAGTCAAGGTGGCAAAGTGTATTGTTACACTTTTCAGCAGACAAGGATTTTTAAGGATTCCTGCAATCTTAGAGTGGTACAATTGAAGTTTATATAGGGTAAAATACAATAAAACATGTGCCAAATATGCCAACTAGGTGATTCAGGTTGGGATTAGGGAGTGGTTAGGGAGTGGACAGTTCTTAAAAGAACATGTACTTCTTGTACCTACTGCACAGGCATTTTACCCAGAGTTCACTAGGAAAAGCCCACAAGGGGGGCCACGTGGAGGTGTGGTTTTTGGCCTGCTACGTCACTAAGTCAACCAGAGTTCAGGGTAACTAAGCGTTGTCCAGTCTGCCACCAATCAGTGTCTTGTTTGACAGGATAGATGTAGGGGGTATATATATGTCTTTAGTCTAGAATACAATTAATGAGGAGCCCAGGATGTAGATAATGAGGTAGGGCACTAGTATGTCTTTATGACCCAGTGCAAAACCAGTTTAAACTAATAATTCCTTCAGCTGCTGTTTGGAACTGCACCAAAGAGAGAGATAAGGAAGGCTTGCTGGGGCCCACTCATGAGTAATTGCTAGTCACAGGGTTCTTGGGCTGGGGAGAAACTGTCAGGGACAGTGTTTCTGAGGCTAGGGGGAAATTGGGGTCCAAGCACAAGCACCCAAGCATAAGCACCCAAGCATAAGCACCCAAGTACTACATCAGGAACACCATATATGATGAACCACAATGTTCTCTTATTCTTCCTTCTTGATGTAGGAGAAAATGAAATGCTTCCAAGAGAAATCATTGCAAAATAAATATTATCTTTTGTCTTTTATTACCTCATCACAACTCCAACCATTCCCCAGAGCCTAAGTTCTATATTTCCAATCACTATGTCCTTCAGCACCTTAGGCAAGTCACTTAACCTTCATTAAACTGCTCTCTACCATAAGTTACAGAGAAGGCAGTTTGAGGATATTTCCTCAGCCAGGAGTTCCATATACCAAAGAAATCACAAGTTCTGTTCCTATCCCTATCCTCTGTCTCCAAAGCCAAAGCTCTTTCTACATATTGTGCATCTAGTGTTGAAGAGAAAGGTGATGGCCAACTTCTTTCATCATATCAGGTTTGGGTTGGCATGATATGGTGAGGTATGCTTCCCTTTAGTTCCCTGTCACCTCTCCAGTCCATATTGAAAACCTGGGCCAGAGTGGAAATAGAATAGGAAGGAAAAGACAAGTAAAAGAGGCATCATAGAGACTAGATTGATAGCATTTGAAACAGATTCAGTTTAATTCAATAAATATTTGTTCAGCACCATGGATAGAGTGTTGGACCTGAAGACAAAAAGAGGTTTTTCAATCCCAGGCTCTTACCTGTAGGGCCCTAGGCAATTCACTTAACTTCTCTGGGGCTCAATTTCCTTGTCTGTAAATCTATGATCCTATGAACTGCTATGTGCAAGGTGCCATATTCTGGGGAGAAAGAGGAAAACAAAAACAAAACCCTGCTTCTCAAGACTACTCCCTCCTCTGTGAAACTGCTTTTCCCAACCCCACGCCCAAGTGAATTTGACCTAACCCTCCTCAAACTTCTCAGAGCACTTTTGCTGAACTTTTCCTTTAGATATTCCCATTGTCCTTTATATAGCTATTTGTGCACTTGTTTCCCACATTCCCATTGGATTGTAATCTACCTAAGAGCAGAAAATGTATTGTAATTGTGCTTGTATCTCCTGAGTCAAGCAAAATACCTTGACCACAGTAGGTGCTTAATACATTTGTGGGAAATGAATTAAATTGAAACTGAACTCTACAGGGGGAAAAGTGCCAGTTACAGAAATAAGATACCGGGAGCTTTTAGCCTACAAAGAATTATAGATCACTATTTCTAGAGGGGAATTCAGGTATCCAGTCCAACCCTCTCATTTTTCAAAGGAGGAAACTGAAGTCCAGAGAAGTCAAGCGACATGTCTAGGTTCATACAAGTAATAATAAGCTTTGAAGTTGACTCCAAGCTTATCTGGTGATTTTTAATTTTGCCATGTCAAGGGTTAGTGATTTCATCAATGTGAGTCTTCCTTCCACCACATTAGAAAACAATACCTCTACACCATAGGAGGTAGCTGAAATATGCTCCTGTGGCTAAAAGTATTCGTCATCTGGTGGTCCACCTTCTGCTATTGAGCTTCCCTAAATCTAGTGAGGTTTGTCTGATGACAATAATAACAGAATAAATGTTTAGACAGTGGTTTTTTGGTTAGGCAATGGGGTTAAATGACTTGACTAGGGTCACACAGCTATTAATTGTTATATGTCTGAGGCTGGATTTGAACTCAGGTCGTCCTGAATCCAGGGCTAGTGCTCTATCCACTGCACCACCTAGCTGCCCCTAGACAGTGTTTTGAAGTTTACAAAACACTTGACATATATTATTTCATTTGATCTTCACAACATCCCTAAGAGACAGATGATATTATTATTCCCTTTTTACAGATAAGGAAACTGGGACTGAGAAGTTAAGTAATGTAGCCACCATCATGAAGCTAGTAAATCAATTCTTTCAGACTCTAGTGCAGCATTATGCACTATGGCTTAACAGTAAACATATAGTTCATCTGCTGGTCTATACTCTGAGCTCTTCAGGCTTGGTAGGGCCTACTGGAGCTATTACTTCCCTGAAATAGCCTTGTATATTGTCATCCCTACATCGCAGTGAGGCATTTAAAGAGGCCTGTTAGTAATATATGTCTAGTGATGCCCAAATGAATATGTTCTCAGTTATGTTTCTGGGGAAGACACCAAACAAAGAGATAAGGGGTACATGAGTTAGAGGTCTTATGACTAAACCTATAAAAGCAAACTTTAAAGATAGAAAATTGTTTTGATAAAAGAGCTAAAGCTGAATACAGTGGCATGTCACAAGAAAGCCACTAGGTGTTATATTTAAATAAATTCTCTAAACTGAAATAGAAAAGAAGTTTGTAAAGGTGGGAGGGAGGAACATGGAAATGAGGATACACCTTAAAATGTAGGAAGAAAGGTCTAGAGCCTCCAAGAGAGGAGAAGCCCAGGCTTGGGTTCCATATCAGGAGTTCAGGGAGTTCAGAGGATTATAGATCATTAGATTGGGTGCTAGAAGAGACCTTATATCTACTCTAACCTTCTCATATTGCAGATGAAAACCGAGGCTTATAGTGGTTAAGGGACTTCCCCAAGATCATAGTTCCTAAATGGTTGGACCCAAATTTGAATTCAGGTTCTTAGCAACCTAAACCTTGTGGAAGCAGGGACAGGTGGGAAAAGAGTGTTGAAAGGGAATTGAAATCTGAAGAAAAAGCATTCACTACTTTGCAGTTTTTCTGAAGGAAATAGCTACCTGTATCTTGTTTCTGTACTGTGACTTTCCCCCGAAGAGTTCAGTTTCAATTAAATTCTAACATTCTTTTCTTTTAAAAAAAAATTTGAGTTCCAAATTCTCTCTCCCCAACCCATTGTGAAGGCAAGAAGTGTGCTATCAATTGTGCGTGTGAAATCATGCAAAACATATTTCCATTCAATTTAATTCAATTCCACATATGTATTAAGTACCTACTGTGGCCAAGGCATTTTGTTTGATGCAGGGTACACAAACATAGATACAATGGAGAGATTATGTTTCAGGGCTAAACATAATCCTATCTTAAATTTCTCTGTGAAAAAGTCCAGTAAGGAAGTGTTAGAAGGGAGTTTATTTAGGGATCATGTACTTGTCAGGGCAGCTAGATGGTACAGTAGATAGAGTGCTGGGTTTAATTCAGGAAAACTTATCTTCTGGAGTTAAAATCTGTCCTCAGACATTTATTAGCTGTGTGACCTGGGGCAAATCACCTAACCCTGTTTGCCTCAGTTTCCTTATCTGTAAAATGAACTGGAGAAGGAAACGGCAAACCACACAGTATCTTTGCCAAGAAAACCCCAAGTGGGATTACTATGAGTTGGACACAACTGAAATGGCTGAATAACAACAACTTGAAGAAAGCCACAGAGGCTAGCAGGTAGGTTGAGGAGAAGAAAGAGATCATTCCAGACATTGGGACAAGCAATGAAAAGGCACAGAATTACGTGAAGGGGTGCCCTGTGTGATGGATAGCAAGGAGGCAGGTATTGTTAGTTCATAAACCATGTGAAAGAGAGTGAAGTATAGGAAGGCTGCAAAGATAGGCAGGGGCCAGGATGTGATGGACTCCACATGCCAAACAGGGATTGCTTCTTACTTTATTCAACCCTTACAATTTTGTTTGCCTCTCTCTTCCCAGCTTGTCCTATTCTGTTCTCTCTCCTCTACTAGAGAAATGGATTGACAGTTTCAATCTGCTACTGTAAAATGCCTAGAGCTCCTCAGACGAAAAGGGCCTACAGTATATAAAAATAACCTGAGAAGACAATTACAGTTAAGCTGATGGGGGAAATATTCAAACTCCCTTCCTTCTCACCTTCATAAAAAAAAAAACCGATAACCCCAGAATCCAGTTTTGTGTAGAGAATTCATGTATATTCCTTTGAA